TGTGTGTGTTCACAAGAAACATATCTTCAGGTTAAGGTGACATGCAACCACAACTAACTGTTTATAAGTAAGTGTCTATAGTAAGCCTAGTTTGATAATTAACTTGCAATAACTTTTTTTTAAAAAGAAAAAAACTTTGGCCGGAGAGGTATACAAAGTTAAATCTAATTATATAAACATCGGATACACAGAATGAAAAAGATGGGGCGTGAAGGAGAGAAAAAGGATCTTACTGGAAACTCTGTCATAAACATCAGCAGCTGATTCTCCCTCAGGAAATCGATAAAAGAAGCGGCCAAATCTCTCGCGAGTCTCCTTAATGACTTTCATGCGCTCCGCCACTTGAAAATTCCCAAAATCTTGTTCTCTAATTCGGCATTCTTCCCTGACGCCAAGCACCCTCCGTCTCGAGAATGCCCTGCCCATCTCCCGTAGCGTTGAACGTGTTCGCACGTAAGGGGAAACGTAAAAGTAGACCTTCCAGTTATCGGACGTGCCATTATCAGAAATCACGTCAAAAATGCGGGACCCAGCTTCCTTGGCTTGACCAATTCCCTTGGGAGTTAACGGGATCCTATAATCGGGCGTGACGGTGTACATGGCGTCGTCCCTATTCCCTTCGCTCTCGCCGTGGCGCACCAAAATTATGCGCTTTGGTAGGCACTTGGGTATGGGTTTCTGCGGATTATTATTATGACTATCAAAATGGCAACAATGGCAGCGATGTTGGTGATCAGGAATTTGGGCGTGGCCGTTGTCATCAACGGTACTATTTATCATTATTCTTTCTATTACCTTTCAAAATCGGGTGAGATTATGAGAAAATGTGGACATTAAGATAGGGTTTTGGGGAGGGAAAAATGGCGGATTGGATATGGATCACTGCCAAATTGATTGATTTTGAAAGTCGTTATTTGGGAAGGAGGTGACTTGGATTTCTTGCTTACTTGGGAATATGGGGGATAGATCAAAACTGGTCATCCCCTATAACCTAATCTAGGGTGTTCGGTTCGATCTAAATTTTATTTTAAAAAGCAAGTATATACACCAAAATTAGATCGAAGAGTTGGTTATAACAAATGCAAATATAATTATTTTCATTCAATCACTAGAGTTACGATTGTAGATGTAAAATTATCTACGGTCAATTTAGGAGTAAGATATATAGTAATGTGAAAAAGATAGTCTAGGAGGTTCAACTACATGCGTCTGATTCTTCACTATTCATCCTTCTTTCGATATTTATAGTTGTCCATGCCCCTTGGAGTCCAAGTCTGCCTAAGATATTTGAGTAGTTCGTTGAACTGAATTAGCCATCAAGTTCGATATCCGCTCCATTAGATTCTCGAAGTCGGATGAGAAATTTATTAGATGTGCGCCTTATCCTCTTAGACTCGGTCAAAAGAGGGTAGACATGGGCGGTAGGTAGTGAGGTTGGATATATGGGGATGGCCTCCTGTAAGCCGCATTGCCTCATCCTGAACGTATAGATACAATTGGACGAGGAACGAACCATTAGCTGAGAGGTCATTTGTAGGGCTCGTTCTGAAGCACTGCAAGATCAGTCCGGAGATCGTTCCTCCAGGCATGCACCAGGCGCATATATTTTTTAACCGCTATAGTTAACTCCCTACTTGCTAAGGCCGAACATCTTTGCCTCTAAAAGTGAATACCCCCAAAAGCAAAAAGAGGTAATCACAACACTTGTAACTCATAAATGTGTATACATAGGATGTTTATGGGTTCTATTTGTGGTTGGAGTAAGTTTGGGTGAACCTTAGATGTGGGTCATTAGTGGAGGTGGTTAAAAAGTTGGAGAAGATAATGAATAATTGCTGGAAGTATTAAATGGGTCTTGTAGGATCCCAATTAAATTAGTAGGAGTGGTATGCGTGAATTTTGCCATATGGATTGAAATTGAAGGTTTGGGTAACTTAGGACCAATATCCAATACCACAGTGGATTGTCTTCAGTTTAAAATAACGTAAATTTGATTGTAATTGTGTAGCTGAACATTATTAGAGTTATTGATGTATTGGAATTTACGAAGGAATACCATAAGTACGTGGAAATCTAACCTTTCTTGGAGCTATTTTCTCAAATTCATATTTTCAAAAGTTTATGAATGTGGTTTTGATTGTGAGCATGTTTCGTGCTGACGAGATAACGTGTATTACACCATGTTTATGAATAAATAACATTATTTGCTATCTTGATTACAGAAATATATATTAGGTGATTTCACGCTCTATGAACTATTTTCTCAACATAGCACATGGTAATAAATATTGTGCATGTGTCTGCATGAAAATATTACACGGATACGTTTTTTGATATGATCATCGTGAATGTTATGAAAGTTATAGCTTAGATACTCGTATAGGAATTTTGTATTATGTTTAAGAACTTATATTATGTTTCCATAATAAAAATGATATGATGATGTCATGAGTATCAAGATTTATGGAAATAACCTATAAGGAAATCAATGCCAAGTTTGAAGTTATGAATGAGGTTGATAGTGCCACATATGATTGATGTGCCGAGAAATTACACTATTTTTTCTACCATTTGCATAAACTTTTTTAATGTCCTTTACGCACATATTATGTTATTTTGTGTCTTTAGCAATTTGGAGATAAAGTATCAAGAATTGCCAAAAGTGAGAAAAGACTACTTTTCTAAGGTTTTGCTGACTGTAGAATAATTTTATGGATTGCAAAATGGGTCACAAATTAGAACATAAAGTGTGAAAAATAATTCAGAATTTTGCTAAGACTTTTTGCTAACCACTGAATAATATTAATAATCGCAGAATGGTTTTGTTGACTGCGAAATATGTCGCGGATTTAATCGACTGAACGTAGATTGGTTTTACTGACCACATAATAGTTTTGCCGATCATAAAATAGTTTTGCCGATCATAAAATGGGTAGCGGATTGGATATGCTAGCCATGGAATGGATACGCATATAGCAAAATGGACAAGAAATTTAACTAAACAAAATTTAATAGAAGGGACTCCATCTCCCACCTAGGCAGCTAAAGGAGGGCAACCTGCAGCTACAGGTCGCCCTAGAGGAGGGGGCAGGTAGGTGGAGGTCAGACCGGTGGCGGTCAGGCTCGTTGCTATACCTTCCCGTGTAGACCCGAGGCAGTGGCCTCATAGGCTATGATCACATGTATGGTTTCAGTCTGTCATAGAGATGCTTATGTGTTATTTGATCCAGGGTCTACCTATTCATATGTATTATCACATTTTTCTCCTTATTTGGACATGTCTGATGGTTTTCTTGATATTCCTCTTCATGTATCTACATTTGTCGGTGATTCTGGTGGATCATGCATATTGTCTGGTGTGGTTACTATTGGGGGTTATGAGACGAGGGTTGATCTTCTATTTCTAGATATGGTAGATTTTGAGGTGATTTTGGATATGGATTGGCTATCTCCGTATTATAGTATTCTGGATTATCACACTAAGACTGTGACATTGGCTATGCCGAAATTACCAAGGTTAGAATGGAAAGGTTATCTTGGTCATACCCCAGGTTAGAATGGAAAGGTTATCTTGGTCATACCCCTAGTAGACTGATTTCATTTCTGAAGGCTCAAATGATGGTTGATAAGGGGTGTTTGGCGTATCTAACTTTTATTAGAGATATTAGTGCTAAGACTACTACTATTGATTCAGTCCCAGTAGAGAGGGAGTTTCTAGATGTGTTCCCTGCAGACCTGCCGGGCATGCTACTCGATAGGGATATTGATTTTTGTATTGATTTGGTACGGCACGCTTAGCCCATATCTCTTCCACCGTATCGTATAGATCTGACTGAGTTGAAGGAATTGAAAGAGCAGTTGCAGGAGTTGTTGGATAAGGGATTCATTAGACTGAGTGTTTCTCTTAGGGTGCACTGGTGTTGTTTGTGAAGAAGATGGATGGTTCTATGAGGATGTTCATTGCTTACAACAGTTTAACAAGGTCACTATAAAGAATAAAAATACATTACGTCGTATTGATAATTTGTTTGATCAGCTTCTGGGTGTTATGGTGTTTAAGAAGATTGATTTGATATCGGGCTATCATCAGTTGAAGATTAGGACTTCAGACATCCCTAAGGTGGCTTTTAGGACTCATTATGGACATTATAAGTTCTTGGTGATATATTTTAGTTTGACTAATGGTCTAGCAACTTTCATGCATTTGATGAACAGTGTGTTCAAGCCATATTTTAATTCTTTTGTCATTGTATTCATTGATGATATCTTGGTATATTCCTGTAGTAGGGAGCATGAGCATCATTTGAGGATTGTGCTTCAGATTCTGAGGGCGAAGAAGTTGTATGCTAAGTTTTCAAAGTGCGCATTTTGGTTGGATACGGTAGCATTCTTGGGTCACGTGGTGTCTAGTGATAGTATCAAGGTTAATCCGAAGAAGATTGAGGCGGTTCAGGGTTGACCTAGACTCACTTCATCTACAGAGATTAGGAGTTTCTTGGGATTTGTTGGCTCCTATCTTCATTTTGTGGAGGAATTTTCATCTATTGCAGCCCCATTGACCAAGTTGACGAAAAAAAGGAATTCCTTTTAGATGGTCTGATGAGTGTGAAAAGAGCTTTCAGAAGCTCAGGACTACCTTGACTACAACTTTAGTGGTGTTGCTCACAGGTTCAGGGCCATACACGGTGTATTGTGATGCTTCACGCGTTGGTCTTAGCGCAGTGTTGATGCAGGATGGTTAGGTGATTGCTTATGCGTCACTGAAGTTGAATCCCCATAAGAAGAAATATTTTGTTCATGATTTGGAGTTGGTGACTATTGTGCATGCACTTAAGATTTGGAGGCATTACTTGTATGTTGTGTCATGTGAGGTTATACTGATCATTAAATTCTTCAACACTTATCTAAACATAAGGATTTGAATTTTAGGCAGCAAATGTGGCTTGAGTTGCTTAAGAATTTTGATATCACTATCTTATATCATTCAGGTAAGGTGAATGTGGTGGTAGATGCCTTAAGTAGACAAGCGGAAAGTATGGGTAACTTGGCATTTATTCTAGTAAAGAAGAGGCCTTTTTCTATGGATTTCAGGCCTTGGCTAATATATTTGGGACATTGGAAATTTTCAAGACTAGTAGAGTTTTTGCTTGTGTTGTTTGTGTAGTCATCCTTGAGTGAGCACAGTAAGGCTCGTCAGTATGATGATCCCCATTTGCTTGTCCTTAAAGATACAGTGTTACGACGTGGTACTAAGGAGGTGGTCATTAGAGATGCCAGTGTATTGCGACTTCAAGGTAGGATTTGTGTACCTAATGTCGATGGCTTGAGGGAGTTGATTCTTGAGGAGGCTCATAGTTTACGATATTCTATTCATCCGGGTGCTACAAAGATGTATCGTAATTTGAAGCAGTATTATTGGTGGCGGAGGATGAAGAAGGACATCGTTGGACATGTCTTGCGGTGTTTGAATTGTCCGCATGTCAAGTATGAGCATGAGAGACCTAGTTGTTTATTTTAGAAGATAGATATACTGGAGTGAAAGTGGGAGCTTATCACTGTAGATTTTGTGATAGGGTTGCCACAGACCTTGAGGAAGTTTGATGCTATTTGGGTCATTTTGGATAGATTGACTAAGTCTGCGCATTTCATTCCTGTGATGACTTCTTACACTTTAGAGAAGTTGGCTCAGATCTACATAAAAGAGATTGTCCATTTGCTGTTGTGCCTATTTTTATCATATCGGACTGGGGTACTCAGTTCACATCGCACTTTTGGAGAGCTATCAGTGAGACATGGGTACGCGGGTGTAGCTTTGTCACGACCCAATCTTCCCTATAGGCCGTGATGGCGCCCAACGTCGTCGCTAGGCAAGCCAACGGTGAACTAGCCATGTATTTATTCTTTTTAATAATTTCAAAGTAGTTAATTTTTATTTATTAAGTAAATGAAAAGTGAAAAATTTAATAAAGTAAAGCGTAAACTAATAAAAGAGCAAATATGATGAAATAAACATTCAAAATCCATAAAGTATCTACTAGTGTATTCCCAAGACCCGGTGTCACATGTGTATGAGCAATTAGTATAATATACAAAACACCTATGCTACTGTCTGAAATAGGATAGATAGAAAGTAAATACAAAAGAAAGACTACGGGTGCTGCAGAACGGACTCAGAGAGTAGCTCACCACTATGCCTAAGGATAACAGGGGTGCACGCCTGAATGAACACCAGATGCACCTACCTCAGATCCTGCACGATTAGTGCAGAAGTGTAGCATGAGTACCTAAACAACATGTACCCAGTAAGTACCCAGTTTAACCTCGAAGAAGTAGTGAC